AAGAAAGAAAGAAAGAAAAAAAAGAAAGAAAGAAAGAAAAGAAAGAAAAGAAAGAAGAGGAAGAAGAGGGGGAGTGAGGAGGAAGGAGGAGGAGGAGGAGGAAAGGAGAAGGAGAGGAGGAGGAGAAGGAGAGAAGAGAAGAGGAGTAGAGGAAGAAGAAGAAGAAGGAAGAAGAAGAGAAGAAGAAGAAGAAGAAGAAGAAGAAGAAAGAAGGAAGAAGAAGAAGAAAGAAAAAGAAGAAGAAGAAGAAGAAGAAGAAGAAGAAGAAGAAGAAGAAGAAGAAGAAGAAGAAGAAGAAGAGAAGAAGAAGAAGAAGAAGAAGAAGAAGAAGAAGAAGAAGAAGAAGAAGAAGAAGAAGAAGAAGAAGAAAGAAGAAGAGAGAAGAAGAAGAAGAAGAAGAAGAAGAATGAGAGAAGAAGAAGAAGAAGAAGAAGAAGAAGAAGAAGAAGAAGAAGAGAAGAAGAAGAAGAAGAAGAAGAAGAAGAAGAAGAGAGAAGAAGAAGAAGAAGAAGAAGAAGAGAAGAAGAAGAAGAAGAAGGAAGAAGAAGAAGAAGAAGAAGAAGAAGAAGAAAGAAGAAGAAGAAGAAGAAGAAGAAGAAGAAGAAGAGAAGAAGAAGAAGAAGAAAGAAGAAGAAGAAGAAGAAGAAGAAGAGAAGAAGAAGAAGAAGAAGAAGAAGAAGAGAAGAAGAAGAAGAAGAAGAAGAAGAAGAAGAAGAAGAAGAAGAAGAAGAAGAAGAAGAAGAAGAAGAAGAAGAAGAAGAAGAAGAAGAAGAAGAAGAAGAAGAAGAAGAAGAAGAAGAAGAAGAAGAAGAAGAAGAAGAAGAAGAAGAAGAAGAAGAAGAAGAGAGAAGAAGAAGAAGAAGAAGAAGAAGAAGAAGAAGAAGAAGAAGAAGAAGAAGAAGAAGAAGAAGAAGAAGAAGAAGAAGAAGAAGAAGAAGAAGAAGAAGAAGAAGAAGAAGAAGAAGAAGAAGAAGAAGAAGAAGAAGAAGAAGTGATCAGCAGTGCATAACTATATTTCCCACATTCTAATACCCAGTCAGTAGCCAATCTATTGCTCGCCTGTCAAACACATCAATGACGTCGGATGTTTTTTTTTAACGACGCTTACAAAGATCTGCTGTGTTATCTATATCTACATCAAATTCTTTTCTCCTGTTGAATGTCATCTTCCCTGTCCTCATTTCACTCAACATTGTCAAGTGCCAATCACTACCAGTAATCCGCTCCCCCCCCCCCCCTACTTTTTTCTGGTCACAATACGGCAGCTAAAAGCCAAACTCAACTGCATGGGCGACAGCGACGTTTATCATCACCGATTTCTGACAGTCTCATTGCCTAGAATGTCGTGCACTGTAATTACCGTCCAGTGCGTGTACTGCTGAGCAGTGTTGCCACTTTGGATGTTTTACATTGAAATTTAGATGTTTTTCCCTTGCATTTAGGTGGCGTTTTTGACGTTTAGATAGTAGATGTTTTTCTATATGTTTTTTATTTACTGTGAACTTATCAAATCTAACCTAAGAAACAGGATGAAATTTGACCTCTTAAATGCTATCTTGACAATAAAATTTTGCCTGATAAGAGAAGGGAAAGGCTGTACAACTTATCAGCTCCCTGATTGGGTATTAAAAGAAATTGGAACAGCTAAAGCATACCAGAGTCATTCTGGATCTGAAGCTTCAACTTCATCATCCAAGCTAAGTTTATCCAGTGGATCTTGTAAGGCAGTCTTCAGTAAAGATGAGGACATTATTCTATAGGGTAAGTCATATCAATTGCTATGTAATTTGTGACTCTTTCCATTTGGATGTTTTTTTCCTAGATGTTTTCCACGCAATTTTAGATGTTATTTATATATTTTGTGACTCCGTTTTGGATGTATGTTTTTTTTTTTTTTTTGTCAAAGAAAAGTGGCAACACTGCTGTTGGGAAATAAAAAAAAATGGCTCGGCGGATCATTCTTCTGACATTCGTATATACTGGTGAGTTATTTATCATTAGTTGTGTGAGGAATGCTGCCTGTTTAGTGTTTACCGAAGGTGAACCTTTTTTCTTCTTTTTCTTCTTAAATTTGTTTAAATTACTGTCTTCGAGGATAATATGAACAAAAACGCACACAAAAAATGGTTCTTTAAAAGTAATTTGAATTAATCGAGCAACAGAAAGTGTACTGATTGGCACTCATAGAAAGACGTAGAAAGATAGAAGAACACACAAGACAACATAAAAATCGAAAGCTATAGAAACCTGTCACCTCCAGACGGCGTCTGCACCTCGCCATGGATTTTCTTTTAAGAGTAGCATGACCACCTACATAAGGGTTGTTCAGTCATGATTACTCGGAGGCCAACATTTGGAAAATAAGGATCGTCACGGGACAGCAGCCCGAGTCCAAGTCTAGAAAGGTCATTAATGCAATACAGCTGGCAATGATCCGAGGGCCAGCCACTTGCTAGGTATCCGCAGCCCATATCTGACCCGCGGGCCACTAAATGAATAGCTATGGCCTGCGTATATCGGCATGAGGAATGATGGTGACTATCACAGTTCTTCTTTACTTCAGATCGGGGTTGCTAGATTTTAAAAAACTTCATTTTATGCCAAACCATTACCCAAAATATGCCAGAAAATGACAAATAAAGAGTAACATTGTACTCACTTCTCATCATAAGGTCTAGATTGAATTCTTTACTGTCATCCTCACTGGAACCAGTGGAAGATACAGCATAAACCTTTTCGGATGTAAAATCTTTAAGCGTTTTCTCTGATGGGATGAAGTCTTTGCAACTCATCTATAATGATGGCATATTTCTTGTTGCGAAAAACCTCAATAAGGTCATCCAATGTACTTAAGTGCAGCCTCCGATATAATGTTTTTAGCAGAATGATAGGGTTGGCATTAGAGGGGTTAAACCATATATATATATTTTTTTAATTTACAATTGATGTAATGCGAGCAGGTTAAACCTTGAATCAACTACAAGTAGTCTGACTGTGGAGGTGATGGCACAAACAAAAACAATGATGTGGCTAGAGACGCCACATTTTTCATATGCGTGCTTTCTACGTGGTTCTATGAGCATGCTTAAGAAGAGAAACAGAATGGATACGAAGAAAATGGTTGAACTCGCTGAGGAAATCTAGTCTGATTTGGAATTGATTTCATTTTTGTGCCAGGTCACTCTGGTGTAAGAGGAAATGAATGAGCGGATTGGCTTGCTGGCAGGGCCACGGTAAGTACAAGAAAAGCATTGAACCGGGTGGACATTCTCAATGCTCTCAAGCGGGCAGGACGAGAAGATGATCCAGGAGACGACGTTGAATCGGCAACAATCAAAAGACTACAAGAACCTCAGGTCAAAAGAGGTGTCGCCAAACATGAACAATTATACAGGTAGCCAAAGAAGAATAGTTAACCAACACAGAACTGGTGTTATGTCGCCATACGCTGGGCGATATTTTGAAGATGGAATCCCAGCGCTTATGGACTGGGGCAGTGAGGACAATCTGTTGATTAACTAATTAACTTACTGTCTGAACTGAGTGTTGCGATACATCAGTGTATCGGCTGCAGTGTGAAGGTACGTCGCGTGAATGCGAAGAGTGAAACAATTTAGTGTAAGTGTCCTTGTCGCTTATAAGGGTTAGTTTAGAAGGTTTGCTTAGTATATAATACAATAAACTCCACAGGGGAGCATTCACCACAGAAGTCTACTAGTCATCAGTAAAAGAGCCTCCGTCGACATCTGTTTCGGCCTGCACCATCCTAAACAATCTCGTAGGTGGGCCAACCTGGGTCACGACGCTAGGACCCAATAAATCCCCTGCTGTGCTTAATCAGACACGTATTATCGGACGAGAGGAAGGTGTATCAACAGGTACTGGTGAGATTTGGTTCTTTTGTCGGTGGTGTTTTGTTGCCGCGGTGGCAAATTTGGCCGTCTATCTTTCACGGTCGAGTGACAAGCGAGATTAGCGCTTATTAAAGTGTCTTAAAATTACCTCAATCTAAAAGTGTCAACGAAATGAAAAGTTCCACAAATTCTGATTTAGAGCTTAGTAATGCAGTGGGGGTCGGCTCTGTGGTTAAGTCGATGCGAACGCTTCGTAATACCAGAATGCCGGGTTCGATCCCAGCTGCGGGCCATGCGCCATGCGTTGGTTTCGACAGTGGTATCAAGAAAGCTGACTGTCCAGAAGCAATGGCAAACTACTGGACGTAAATTTGCCTAGAAAAACCACACAAATGATGGGGTTGGTTCTGCAACGTCCTGTAAAGGATACGCAACTAACCTAATGCAGTGGGGAGACAACGGCTATGCCACCGGTTAGTACAGTCACTGCCCAGAAGGAAAGAAATGGCAAACTAACTTCTGCAAAACTTGCCAAAAAAACCTCAACAGCCAGGGCTATCAAAGACAATAAAACACAGAAAACTGAAATATTAGGATCACTTGAAACGTCACGAAAGTTTGGAGAGAAATAAAATGCAGGGGTATATGCCTGGGAAGAGGAAGACCAAAGAGAAGATGGGTGTAGGATATGGCGGACGATCTCCAGATGTGTGTATTGGACGCGGGACATCTTGTGATTGAGAAGTTTTCCAGAGGGCTGTTATGGAGCCAGGTTCTGCAAAGTACATGCTACTGACTGAATGCAGTGGGAAATATTAGACAAAGATTAGGTACTGGCGTACTCCGGAGTGAGGAAGAATAATAATAATAATAACTCAGTCCTTAAGAAAGAGAATAGGGGCGTTTGAGCTGAAATGCTATAGATAGATTCTCAGAATATCTTGGACAAAGAAGTTGAGAAATATTGACATCTTAAAAGATCTCAAGGAAGACTGACTAATAAACAGCATCCTTTCTCGAAAGGTGAAAGCTCTATCTTAAAAAATGTGTAAGAAGGCCGAGACTGTCCCCCCCCCCCACCCTCCCCACACTTCTCAAACCCACGTTGTTTTTCTGTCTGCCTGCATCCCTGACGGCGTGGTCTACGCCCATACATATTCTCTTCTGGTGGTAAAAGTCTTGTACGGTATGACATCAGAGGGTATTCTCACGAAGGGGGCCAACCAACCATTGGTGACTTGTCGTCTTCGCCTGTAAACGAGTACTGGCTCTACAGCGAGTCGTTCCCCCTTTTGACAGCATTCCTCATTTTGTCTCACCTAGATACGCCCGTATTCTTTCTCATGTGTCCTATTTTTACGGTTGCTTTTGGGGGGTGAAGGGAACAGTGTTGCCACTTTGGATCTTTTGTATCCAAATTTAGATCTTTTTCATTGCGTTTAGATCCTGTTTTTGACGTTTAGATACTAAATATTTTTCTAGATTCTTTTCATATGGAGTTAGATATTTTATAGATTTTTTTTCTTTTAGTGTCATTTTAATAATTATTGAGTAAAATATTTATAAAATATTTTTGTTTTGGTCTGGCACGTACATTGTGGCAACTGCCATTACTTAAACTTTGAAATCTCACTAAGGTCAACACTCAAATATCTGACAACCCCGGTGCTGATTAATCGAAATCGCGCGTAAATCATACTAACTTTGTTTCAACCGTATCCTCACTGTGTCATGAAGTATAGCTGTGATGCTGACTTTGTGTTTCTTTTTCATGTGATTTAAAAAAAAAATAATTGCTCACCTTCTTGTGTGGCTTTCACTTGGAAAAAACCTTTCAACATGCCAAAAGTAAAGTATGAGCAAAGATTTCGGAAAGAGTATTTGCATGATGACAAAATTAAAGACTGGGTGATGGCAGTTCCTGGGGATATACGCTGCTATATAACCAAGGCTCGTTGTAAGTACTGCAAGTGTGAAATTAAAGCGAAAATACAAGACTTAAAGAAGCATGCAGAGACTAACAAGCATAAAACTGCAGTTCCATTCAAAGATATTACACCGCTGACATTTGTTTTCAGAAGTACACTGATAAATGAATAATCAAAAGTTGAAGGGTCGGTCGCAATGTTTTTAAGTTGCCATTGTGCAATTTCAAACTGTGATCATTTGATTGATTTGTTTAAAAACACAATTTCTGACAGTAAAGTTATGGATGATGAGAAAATGCATCACAGCAAGTGTACACATATTATAAGAATACTTTATTTTCTCACTTCGAAAAAGATTTGATCAGTGATATTTCTACAAATAAATATAGTTTATTATTAGACAAATCAAATGATATTTCGGTACTGAAAGTGCTTGGTGTGTGTATTATATATTACAGCAACAATACAGACAAAGTAGTTTCTACATATCTTGGACTAGTTCAATTGGAAAAGTGTGATGCAGAAAGTATAGTTCAAGAACTGAAGAACCTTTTAATCAGCAAACAGTTAGACTTGACAAATTTTGTTGCAATTGGTACCGAAAATGTCTCAGTGATGGTTGGCATAAACAATGGCGTTTATGCCAAGTTGAAGGAAGCTATCCCATCGTTAATACTTATAAAATGTATGTGTTATTTATTGCAGCTAGCATTATCACATGCTTCATCTGAATGTTTACCAAGGAATTTGGAATACCTTATTGCTGAAACACATAACTGGTTTTCAAAATCATTTGTCAGACAACAGCAATACAATGCATTGTATTCAGCCTTAAATAATGGTTCCACACCACTGAAAATTCTGTCAGATTGCAAAACCAGGTGGTTATCAATACAACCAGCTGTTGAAAGAATTCTGAACCAATGGTTGGAGTTAAAGACACACTTTGAAATAATAAGACAAAGTGAAAAATGCTACACAGCTGAGATACTATATGAAAGGTACAGTGATGAAAAAAATTTGGCATTCCTTCTCTTTTTACAACCTATTCTAATGGAAGTGCAAAAAGTTAATAAACTGTTCGAATCCAAACATGTTGATAAAGTTAAATTACTTGACGATCTCACTTTGCTATTTTACTCAGTTGGTAAAAGACTGGTGTTGCCAACTTCAAAAGTTGATTTGCTCACTTGCACTATAGAGAGCTATTTGGCTCCTAAGCCATACCTTGGATATCAAATTGAATCAAAAATTGATGATTTAAAAACAAAAAGGACTGTTAACAGAGAATGAAGAGAACAACTTAAAGAAAACGCTGTCAAGATTTCCTTATCTCATTGTTCAAGCAACTAATGCAGAGACTTCCTGAAAATCTAGATGTATTGAAACATATTTCACTCTTTTCTGTGAGCAACATACTTCAGCCAGTAAAGGACATACCTAAATATTGTAAAGTTATGACATTTTTAGGGCTACTGACAATAGTGTCGCGGGAAGCAGAATATCAGTTAACCAAAAATAAACTTAGTTGAATGGACAAACAAAACAGAAAAAAACTGAAGCGTTTTGGAGTGAAGTGAGACAATTTAAAGATGCCTCATCAAACAGTCCATTCTGTAAACTCTTTGAATGTGCCATGTCTGCCATGATACTACCCCACTCAAATGCTGACGTAGAAAGAGTTTTCAGTGCTATGAATTACATCAAATCTAACCTAAGAAACAGGATTAAATTAGACCTCTTAAATGCTATCTTGACAATAAAGTTTGGCCTGATGAGAGTAGGAAAATGCTGTTCCACTTATCAGCTTCCTGATTGTGTATTAAAAGAAATAGGAACAGCTAAAGCATTTGGGATCTAAAGCTTCAACTTCATCATCCAAGCTAAGTTTATCCTGTGGATCTTGTGAAGCAGACATCAGTGAAGATGAGGACATGTGTCTATAGGGTAAGTCATTTCAATAGTTTTGTAATTTGTGACTCTTTTCATTTGGATATTTTTTTTTAATATTTTCCACGCAAATTTAGATCTTTTTAGATATTTTTTAACCCCGTTTTGGATCTTTTTTGTCAAAGAAAAGTGGCAACACTGGAAGGGAAGGCAAACTAATCATTTCTGCCACCGGTAAGATAGGATGGCTATGAATATGCTGTCTACTCCCCTGTCTGGGTGTCGGAGACCAGATGTGGTGAGAAAATGAGAACAACCCCATCCCGCCCCCTCCTCCCCCACAAGCATGTCGCAAAGGGCGAATAATTAGAGGTCTGCTGAAATCGGATGTATTCGGCCAAAAGGCGCAGATATCGTAGCCTAGTTGTAAACCCCAACACAACGCGCCAGTCGTCTTTTTAAGAGCGAACGCAATAGAAGAAGAATGCTTTTAACGTGGCTACTTGTGCTGATCGGGTCGGTGTTATGCTATATAAGATGGAAGCCCGTTGTCCCAGTGTTTGTTTTGGTTTTACATCATGGGATGGTAATTTCTTTCTTCAAGTTACCACTGTCAGTGATTGTTGTTCCCAGATATGTCAACAACTACACGTGTTTATATTTAAACAACCCAATACGTTTAATATTACATCTTTGCACCTTAAAGGTTTTTTTTTTTTTTCTGTTTCTTTTTTCTATTTTTTCTTTTTGCTACTACTTATGTTATGATATATCGGTTCTCATATTTTTCTTCTTCTTCTTCAGCACTCCAAGCCCTTGAGGCTCACTGCTGCAGATATCACCGGCCTCCATTCATCTCTCTGGTCGGCTTTCTCTTTCCAGTTGGTGACACCAAGTGTTTGCAGGTCTGTGTGGACATTATCCCTTCGTCGTCTTCTTGATCTCCCTCGTTCTCATATTATTTTAAAATAATGTTTCTCGCCATGAATTTAAATAAACCATTTTACCAAAACTGAAATTAAACAAAACTCAACTGTGTGATGTGTGTATTTCAGTTGGAAGGGTTAATTTTTTGCCTCATAATATATTGATGTAAATCACGTTAAATGTACATTACGAAATACAGCGAAAGAAGCTCGGCAAAATGCATCCTCGATATTTGAACTCAGATGTTGCAATTTTCTGACTCTCCACCCCAAACGTCAATAGGTTTAAATAGGTTCAAGTCCCTGTGTGGGTTCCTGGATCCCGTTTTGTGACTCAAAAAGAACAGACCCACTGACAACAACCTCCTTCACCAAACTAGCATCTTGTACCAGCTGACTGGTTGAGGTTCTGCTGAAATCAGATAAAAAGCGCCGATATCGAAGGCTAGTCGTAAATCTCAATGTGCCAATAGCCCTTTCACGGATGGATGTAAAAGGAGGAACAGCAAGAGGAGGAGGAGAAGAAAAAGAAAAAAAAAGAAGAAGAAGAAGAAGAGGGGGAGTTGGAGAAGGACGAAGAAGAAGAAGGAGGAGGAAGAAGAAGAAAAAGAAGAAGAAGAAGAGGGGGAGGAGGCGGAGGAGGAGGAGGAGGACGAAGAAGAAGAAGGAGCAGGAGGAAGAAGAAGAAAAAGAAGAAGAAGAAGAAGAAAAAGAAGAAGAGGGGGAGGTGGAGGAGGACGAAGAAGAAGAAGAAAGAGGAGAAGAAAGAAGAAGAAGAAGAAGAAGAAGAAGAAGAAGAAGAAGAAGAAGAAGAAGAAGAAGAAGAAGAAGAAGAGGGGGAGGAAGAAGTAGAAGAAGAAGGGGGTGGAAGAAGAAGAAGTAGAAGAAGAAGAAGAAGGAGTGAAGATTACTTCACTTAACAACTAGAAGATCCTCCCTCCCTGACAGTTCAAAGCGGGTTGTCTGCCGCTGGCCCTACCGTCAGTGAAAAATCTGGCCCCCGTCTGAAGTGCTGGGTGTAACCACTCACATTTAACTGGGAGATTTGTGGCAAGTAATTTAAATAAGCGGCACGGAGTCGCGCAACTCATGCCCTTTAGGTTCCACTTTATTTAGTGGTCTTGTCAAGAGGGCTAATGAAATAGCGCATTTCCCTTTCTACCGTTCTCGTACTCCCTTCTACTGTCCCATCTTCCCCGGGGGATGAGCTGGCAATTTTTAACGGGTTTATAAATAGATTTGAGAATATAGGGACGAGCTTGAAGTTATCTGTTGGAATTATCTCGCACAAAATCGGGGGCAGAGGCTGTATAAACTAGGGAGCGGAAGAAAGATAGAAGACAGAGATAGAATGAGAAGGGGGGACAGATAAAAATACAGACCGAAAAAAAAATCCAGAAAGAATAGTGCAGGTAAGCCAGAAAGAAGGAAAGAAAGAAAGAAAGAAAGAAAGAAAGAAAGAAAGAAAGAAAGAAAGAAAGAAAGAAAGAAAGAAAAAAAGAAAGAAAGAAAGAAAGAAAAGCAAAGTTCGCGACGTCTTTCAAAGCACAACTCCATATCCTGGTCGTGA